AGCGTAACTTTTTCACCCGGTGTCCGTTTTGGGCCCGTAAGTCTTTTTTGGAAATGTAGTGATCGTTTTGGATTGAATTCACTACTTCGTCGTGATGTATGAGGGATTTCGGACATTTTTCGAAAGAGTGAGCACTTTCATATTTGGAACGCTTGGATTGTCGGCGTACGAAGAATTGAGCGTAACTTTTTCACCCGGTGTCCGTTTTGGGCCCGTAAGTCCTTTTTGGAAATGTAGCGATCGTTTTGGATTGAACTCACCACTTCGTCGTGACGTATGTGGGATTTCGGCCATTTTTTGAAAGTGTGAGCACTTGCATATTTGAAACGCTTGGATTGTCGGCGTAAGAAGAATTGAGCGTAACTTTTGCACCCGGTGTTCGTTTTGGGCCTGTAAGTACTTTTTGGAAATGTAGCGACCCTTTTGGATTGAACTCACCACTTCGTCGTGACGTATGAGGGATTTTAGCCATTTTTCGAAAGAGTGAGCACTAGCATATTTGGAACGATTGGATTGTCGGCGTACGAAGAATTGAGCGTAACTTTTTCACTCGGTGTCCGTTTTGGGCCCGTAAGTCTTTTTTGGAAATGTAACGATCGTTTTGGATTGAATTCACTACTTCGTCGTGATGTATGAGGGATTTCGGACATTTTTCGAAAGAGTGAGCACTTTCATATTTGGAACGCTTAGATTGTCGGCGTACGAAGAATTGAGCGTAACTTTTGTACACGGTGTCCGTTTTGGGCCCATAAGTACTTTTTGGAAATGTAGCGATCGTTTTGGATTGAACTCACCAATTCGTCGTGACGTATGAGGGATTTTAGCCAGTTTTTGAAAGAATGAGCACTTGCATATTTGGAACGCTTGGAATGTCGACGTACGAAGAATTGAGTGTAACTTTTGCACCCGGTGTTCATTTTGGGCCCGTAAGTACTTTTTGGAAATGTAGGGACCGTTTTGGATTGAACTTACCATTTCGTCGTGACATATGAGGGATTTCGGCCATTTTTCGAAAGAGTGAGCACTTTCAAATTTGGAATGCTTGGATTGTCGGCGTACGAAGAATTGAGCGTAACTTTTTCGCCCGGTGTCCGTTTTGGGCCCGTAAGTCCTTTTTGGAAATGTAGCGATCTTTTTGGATTGAACTCACCACTTCGTCGTGACGTATGAAGGATTTTGACCATTTTTCGAAAGAGTGAGCACTTGCATATTTGGAACGCTTGGATTGTCGGCGTACGAAGAATTGAGCGTAACTTTTTCACCCGGTGTCCGTTTTGGGCCCGTAAGTAATTTTTGGAAATGTAACGACCGTTTTGGATTGAACTCACCACTTCGTCATGACGTATGAGGGACTTCGGCCATTTCACAAAAGAATGAACACTTGCATATTTGGAACGCTTGGATTGCCGGCGTACGAAGAATTGAGCGTAACTTTTGCACACGGGGTCCGTTTTGGGCCCATAAGTACTTTTTGAAAATGTAGCGACCGTTTTGGATTGAACTTACGACTTCATCGTGACAAATGAGGGTTTTCGGCCTTTTTTCGAAAGAATGAGCACTTGCATATTTGGAACGCTTGGATTGTCGACGTACGAAAAATTGAGCGTAACTTTCGCACCCGGTGTTCGTTTTGGGCCCGTAAGTACTTTTTGGAAATGTAGCGACTGTTTGGATTGAACTCACCACTTCGTCGTGATGTATGAGGGATTTCGGCCATTTTTGAAAAGAGTGAGCACTTGTAAATTTGGAACGTTTGGATTGTCGGCGTACGAAGAATTGAGCGTAACTTTTGCACCCAGTGTTCCTTTTGGGCCCGTAAGTACTTTTTGGAAATGTAGCGACCGTTTTGGATTGAACTTACCACTTCGTCTTGATGTATGAGGGATTTCAGCCATTTTTTGAAAGAGTGAGCACTTGCAAATTTGGAACGCATGGATTGTCGACGTACGAAGAATTGAGCGTAACTTTTGCACCCGGTATCCGTTTTGGGCCCGTAAGTCCTTTTTGGAAATGTAGCGACCGTTTTGGATTGAACTCACCACTTCGTCGTGACGTATGAGGGATTTCGGCCATTTTTCAAAAGACTGAGTACTTGCATTTTTGGAACGCTTGGATTGTCGGCGTACGAAGAATTGGGCGTAACTTTTGCACCCGGTTTTCGTTTTTGGACCATTAGTACTTTTTGGAAATGTAGCGATCGTTTTGGATTGAACTCACCACTTCGTCGTGACGTATGAGGGATTTTAACCATTTTTTGAAAGAATGAGCACTTGCATATTTGGAACGCTTGGATTGTCGACGTACGAAGAATTGAGCGTAACTTTTGCACCCGGTGTTCATTTTGGGCCCATAAGTACTTTTTGGAAATGTAGGGACCGTTTTGGATTGAACTTACCACTTCGTCGTGACATATGAGGGATTTCGGCCATTTTTCGAAAGAATGAGCACTTGCATATTTGGAACGCTTGGATAGTCGGCGTACGAAGAATAGAGCGTAACTTTTGCACCCGGTGTCCATTTTGGGCCCATAAGTACTTTTTGGAAATGGAGGGGCCGGTTTGGATTGAACTTACCACTTCGTCGTGACATATGAGGGATTTCGGCCATTTTTCGAAAGAATGAGCACTTGCATATTTGGAACGCTTGGATAGTCGGCGTACGAAGAATAGAGCGTAACTTTTGCACCCGGTGTCCATTTTGGGCCCATAAGTACTTTTTGGAAATGGAGGGGCCGGTTTGGATTGAACTTACCACTTCGTCGTGACATATGAGGGATTTCGGCCATTTTTCGAAAGAATGAGCACTTGCATATTTGGAACGCTTGGATTGTCGGCGTATGGAGAATTGAGCGTAACTTTTGCACACGGTGTCCGTTTTGGGCCCATATGTACTTTTTGAAAATGTAGCGACCGTTTTGGATTGAACTCACGACTTCATCGTGACAAATGAGGGATTTCGGCCTTTTTTAGAAAGAATGAGCACTTGCATATTTGGAACACTTGGATTGTCGACGTTCGAAGAATTGAGCGTAACTTTTGCACACGGTGTCCATTTTTGGACCATTTGTACTTTTTGGAAATGTAGCGACCGTTTTGGATTGAACTCACCACTTCGTCGTGACGTATGAGGGATTTCGCCCATTTTTCGAAAGTGCAAGCACTTGCATATTTGGAACGCTTGGATTGTCGTCATTCGAAGAATTGAGCGTAACTTTTGCACACGGTGTCCATTTTGGGACCATAAGTACTTTTTGGAAATGTAGCGACCGTTTTGGATTGAACTCACCACTTCGTCGTGACGTATGAGGGATTTCGCCCATTTTTCGAAAGTGCAAGCACTTGCATATTTGGAACGCTTGGATTGTCGTCATTCGAAGAATTGAGCGTAACTTTTGCACACGGTGTCCATTTTGGGACCATAAGTACTTTTTGGAAATGTAGCGACCGTTTTGGATTGAACTCACCACTTTGTCATGACCTATGAGGGATTTCGGCCATTTTTCGAAAGTGTGAACACTTGCATATTTGGAACGCTTGGATTGTCGACGTACGAAGAATCGAGCGAAACGTTTGCACCCGGTGTCCGTTTTGGGCCCGTAAGTCCTTTTTGGAAATGTAGCGACCGTTTTAGATTGAACTCACCACTTCGTCGTGACGTATGAGGGATTTCTGCCATTTTTTGAAAGAGTGAGCACCTGCATATTTGGAACACTTGGATTGTCTGCGAACGAAGAATTGACCGTAACTTTTGTACACTGTGCCAATTTTGGGCCTATAAGTACTTTTTGAAAATGTAGCTGCCGTTTTGGATTGAACTCACAACTTTGTCGTGACAAATGAGGGATTTCGGCCATTTTTCGAAAGAATGAGCACTTGCACATTTGGAACGCTTGGATTGTCGACGTACGAAGAATTGAGCGTAACTTTTGCCCCCGATGTCCGTTTTGGCACCGTAAGTCCTTTTTTGAAATGTAGCGACCGTTTTGGATTGAACCCGCCACTTCGTCGTGACGTATGAGGGATTTTAGCCATTTTTCGAAAGAGTGAGCACTTGCATATTTGGAACGCTTGGATTGTCGACGTACAAAGATTTGAGCGTAACTTTTGCACACGGTGCCCGTTTTGGGCCCCAAAGTACTTTTTGGAAATGTAGCGACCGTTTTGGATTGAACTCACCACTTCGTCGTGACGTATGAGGGANCACCCCTTAATATTAAAAGAAGGGTAATATTGTAATTAGATTGTTATATAATCCTAGGTCCGAGCAAATCAAGAAGCGCTGCATACTTCCATCTGTTATCCAAACGACTGTTCATCATCTTTGCTTCCTCCCCCACTGGTCAGAACTCAGAAACTCAGATCCACAAAACTCTTCAGATATTCCTAGATTTTACTTTTAGATCAAAGATCTGTAAGTTCTTAAAAAAATTTCCTTCTTTTCTCAGCTTGTTTTAGTTATTTTTTTTATTTAATGTTTCTATTCATTTCTTGATAATTATTTAGTTGCTTAGTGGTTGATTTTCTTGCTTTTCTACGTAAATCTTGATGATTTTGACAAATTGAAGCAACCCATTGAACCACTTGTTTACCTGCTCAAATTATTTGTCAAATTTTAGTTTACATCTTTGATAATCTGTTGTGTCGTTTAATTGATAGTGAAGTTATGATAAATTTTAGTTGCCTGATCATAATTTTTAAGTATACTTTATGTGTTCATTGTACTTTTGAAAACACATTTTTTCCCTTTAAAGTTTTATTGCAAATTCTTCTTGTTTATGGATATTATTGGACATCCATCCACTGCTATTTTCTAGTAATTAGTATTTCGTTTTCGTTTTTGTTTTTGTTTTTAATCCAGAGGAGAAATAATCTTGGTCTTTCATCTTGAATTAGGACACAGAAAATTTTATTTTTTCTGTACTAGAGTATTTGATTATATATTTTCATTGTTCAGCTATTATTTTTTGAGTCTAATAAAGTTGATATTTTCCTTCGTTTCAGGTGCCTTGGGGTATCATCAGTGGTCATTACAAATTGAATAAAGGATTGACCAATATGCCGTGGCTGAGTCTATAAGTTGTTATTTCTGCTTTGAGCCTAAACATTATTTCTGTCATTATGGGATCCAATCACCTTCCATTCTTTGTTTGTTTTATCTATATTCTTTAAGTTTAGTCTTGAGATCAAAGCGTGCAAAGTCTTCTTTTTTCTGTATCGAGTTCACAGCTTTTGTAGCTTTGATTTTGTTCAAATTTATAAAATCCTATCTATATCTTCGTCTCTGTTTCTTAGCCTTGTTTCCCGTGTCTATCTTTATCTTTTTGTGGTGCTTCTCTAATTTGCATTTGCATAGAATTTGAAGTTAGTTCAAGGTTCAAAAGAAGTTATGGTGTGCCGAGGAGCTAATCAGACGAGATTTAAGGCATTAAAACATGAAAACAGGATTGCTGGAAGAACAACCATTATAGTTAGAGTTATAGCATGCTTTCAACCCTTGCAGATTTGCCAGGTTAGCTCAAGTTTGGCTTGTAGTGTTGCTTATATTATTGCATATTAGTTCTCATAAATTTGATTTTTTTAATCAATTTACTGTTTTTCATATGCTGGTTTCATGAATCTGTATTTAATCTTTACTGAAAGGCTGCTAATTTTTGCCATGTTCTTCTGCTTTCAGGCTGAATATTTTCGCCAGTTGTTAAAACCTGTTACGTAGATTGATCCTGAAGTTTCCATCATCACACCAAGCTAGCAATACAGCTTTCTTTCCCTCTTTTTTTAAGCATTCCTGAAAGTAATTAATTGGCGGTTTAAATACGAGCATTATCCTGGTATAATAACTTGATGGTACTCGCACAAAATTTTCTCGATTCATTGCAATAGTTTCTAATCCTAATTATGGACAACAGGTTGTTTTGGCTGGATGGTTACATCCAAAGAATTACAGACTCGTCGAGAGTTTTCTGCATGGAATTCACGTGGGCCAACTTTGGACGGCATGGCACCAATGCAGCTGGGGCAAACCTATAGTTTGCCATGTTCGTCCACATTTTCTGTTGACATGGCATTTCCACCATATCCAGTTTCTGAATTACCTAATTTCAACTCGGCACAACTAAATAGAGCTGATGGCTTCTTCAAAGGGTTGCCTCCTCTTTGGGAGAGTTCGTCTCCGTCCATACATCCATATTTAAAAGAGTCTCAATGTGCCGTACCCCATGGGCTCGGGGTTAGTGCTAGCAGAATTGATGCTTCGCACACTTGTCGGAAAAGGTTCCTCGTTGTTGATCAGTCCGGAAATCACATGAGAGTATTTTTTAACCCTTTTCTCCCTCCTCAAAATCAGGTTGATTCTTCTAAGACTCCTCCAGGCGTTCATGCCTCCTGTAATGAGAAACTAGCACTTCAAGTAGAGAAACAATCCTTGGTGAAGCCTGTTGTTCAAGAGAAATGGGAGGAAAATCATTTAACAAATGGAGGAAGTGAGATGCATGAAGACACTGAAGAAATCGATGCTTTACTTTATTCTGATAGCGATGATGAATATGATGATAATGATGAAGCAACTAGCAAGGTCCATACTTCATTTGGCATTGAAGATGCTTATGACAATGACATACAACTTGGGGAACTTATTGAAGAAGTTGCGAGTTCTGGTGGCTCGACTAAAAGGAAAAGATTGCTTGATGGTAGATACAGAATATCATCTCTGTTGGTCGATGGAAGCCCTGTGAAAATGACTACTTCATGCAACTACGAAGATGATGCGGAGTCAAGTGTTGCCCGCAAGATGAACTCCTTTGATGATTTCAATTCCACGAAAAGATTGGAGAAAGTTAAAATCCACGAGACACTGAAGATCCTCAAGAGTATTATTCCCGGGTTAAAGAGTAAGGATCCACTGTTGATAATTGATAAAGCTATCGATTATTTGAAATCCTTGAAACGTGAGGGCGAGTCCATGGGAGTTAGCTACCCTCAGGTTTCAAGTGGTGCTGTTGGTTGATCAGACAACTCGACCTAAGGGCATTGAGAAACCGGTTTGTTAAATAAAATTATTGATGGATTTGAAAGTATTAAGGTAGCTTTTTCTTTAGTGAAACCTTTACAATGCTTTTCACTCTAAGTAAGGAGCTTAATGGATGAATTTTGCTCTTTATTCTCATTACTCTCAAGTAGTGAAGAAAAAATGAGCTCTACAGTTGACTTCTAATGATTATTTTTGAGCCTTTTGGGGATTATTAAAGCAAGTATGAAGGTTTGAATGGTGTGGTGTGCTGTAATTGAGGATTCCTTTTTCTGGGATTGATGATCACACCGTGGATTAAGGGCATGCGCATTTGGTGATCAGGTCCCACCCTCCATTCTCATTCCCATTTGTTTCTTGATTTTATGCTTTTTTTACCTTGAAAATCTGGTCTTTATGAGGGTTCTTACTGAGGGGGACCCCCAAAAGATTCATCTTCAATTTGTGTGTTTCCCACTTGTGAACTTTCGTATATTATGTTTGGAGTGAATCTGTGTCCTTTAGTTCTATTATTATCAAGTATTATTGTAATAAATGTTAAATGGTTTGTGAATGTTTCAATATGTCGTTATTGCTTTGAATTTACAATGTCGGAAAAGATTCATGTAGTCGACTCCAAATTTATTNGGTTTGTGAATGTTTCAATATGTCGTTATTGCTTTGAATTTACAATGTCGGAAAAGATTCATGTAGTCGACTCCAAATTTATTAAGAAAAATGCTTTCTTGCTTTAGCAAGAAATAGCTCTCTTGCACTAGTGTTTTCTCAAATTTGGTGAATGAGATGATTAGTATGGTTATCAAAATCGTAAGCTGGATCCTTGGTAACCACAACACATATGGCCGGCCCCAATGTGGGGAACCCCTTAATAGGATGGGGAAAGAGTGTCCTTCACTTTAGATTATAATCTTAGTGAAGGTGGGTTAACGTATTTGTCTTCTCGAAGAGTTAACGTCTTTCACCGGTCACCGACGGAAAGAGGAAGCTTTTTGCAAGAAGTACCTTTACTGGACTGTACTTCAATCATCGTAGCTTGAATGCTCTTCCTTCATCGATTTCATTACCATACAAAATAAAGATTTAAAACAAGATGCTTAGAGCTTATAATGTGCTCGTACTTGTAAGTCAATCGAAGCTATACTATTGCTAGATTCCAATAGAAATTTTTGATTTGGAGCCTGTTTGGAAGTGATTTTGAGAATTGATTTTTTGACCGTTGGGAGAAAAGTGGGGTCCATGTGTGAGAGAAGAAGTCAAATATGACGACTGGAATAGTGAAATAACGGTCAAAAAATCAATTTTTTGGAGCAAAAAAGCGCTCCCAAACAAGCTGTTGTATTATGAGTTGGGAATTAGGATGGAATACTCGGTCGACCTTTGGTGGGCACCCCTCTAAACTGCAATGGTGGTCGTTGACTAAGATCGTGAGCAACTTTCTTTATAGTCATTGACCTTGTCAACTTTATCTTTTATATATACATCTTCATTTATATTTTAAGTCGTCATGGACAAGAGTTTTAATATGAAAATCAAGTTTTGGTTCGAGTTCCTTATTTTCTTCCCCTTGATGATGCAGGGTGGTTCAACAAACAAATGTATCATATTACATTATATAGGTAGTTATTGACTTGATGAACAATGCATAGGAAAATATTCCAAAGAAAAATGATCAGTTTGATGCAATGACTAAGATTGGTTGATTAATTAAACATTATTTTATACGTCTAAAAATGATTTATATATATTTTTATTTCAATATTATTTGATTAATCAATCATCATCACATACATCTTCTGACTTCCTCCTGACTATCAACTTCTCTTCCTATAAAAGAGTGTCAACAATGCTTTCAATGAAAGAAAGTTCCGTCAATGCTTTTCTTTCATTGAAAGCATCGACCAAGAAAAATTTACAATTTTTTCCTCTCCAAAACAACGTGAAATTGTCACAAATCTGCGACAAAAATTAGTGGTGAATTTGGTTCGCGGTGATATTAATTTCTATCACTAAGTAGTAGTTTTTACTGTTGGAATTGGTTCAAAAATCAATCGAAATTAACTAGAAAAAATTTGGTTAAGTATGAAAAGGTGTGACTTCGTGTTAATTCGACCAAATATTCGAACTTGATCCGATAGTTAAATTACAAAAGTAAATAGACTAACTTATTCTACTCGTCGAGTAAATCGTCGTGGTATATTTGGAATCTCGAACCAATTCCGAATGAATGAGAAATTGCTGTCCAAAGTTGGAATAAATGAAGTGTTGTAACTTTTCGAAAGGAGGTTTTGGCTAAATATTGCAACTTTTGAAAGGATGCATGTTTTGGATTATACTACTTCATTTGCACCCTTTCTACATCTATAAATAGGACCCTTTGGATGTAGTTTTGAGTGCACCATTGTTTTGAGCATCTATCCTTCTCTTGCAATTCATCTTTCTCTCGTCCTCATAACATTCCATGGTAGAGAGAAAATTGCGTTGAAGTTTCTTCGTTCTTGTGGTTTGAAGTGTTGCTACCACAAGTGTGTATTCGTTGTATCTTGGGAGACATTTGTTATTCAACTGTGAGCACTAGCGGGGCAATTTGTTTTAAGGAAAGAGTTATACTCGTCTCAGATTTTCTTTTCTACTCCTTATTTTATTTTGATTTTGTGGTTTTGTACTACACTTCCACGTCATAAAATTGTGGTTTAACTACGCTCCTATGGGTTGAACTTTGCACTCACAAACAATCATTTTGACCGGTCACAAATAAGCCGGATCCAACATTTAAAAATGCTAATATAAATTTTATCTGTTGTTGCTAAACTTTAATTTGTTTCAATCGAATTATTGAATTTCAATTTAATTTCAAATTTCACTATTATGTTACATTGAGTAACCTATCATTTCCCAAACCGTCGAAAATTGCTTAGTTGATAGTTGTACAATAGCCATCTTTCACACAATCACTGTATCATCCTAGGAAAGAAATTGAAAAAACTAGGATTATGACAAGTCTTTGGGTAAAAAAAAATTATATTGAATTTAGTCTCTGCCAATTAATCAGGTTTTATACTGGGAGAAACCATGTAATGAAGTGATCAATTTTAAAATTAATCAAAGTTTCCCTTCAGTTTGATTTTGTTAAAAATTGGAGACTTAGTCGGTTTCAATAAAAGTTGATGAAATATATAGTTAAAAATTGCGAATCTTATGAAATGCATGATTAAAAATAATTATTTACTTTGAGTTAGATTGTTAATCAATTTTTTTTAGCTAAACGGACAAATGCTTAGTTCCTTGAGATAAAGGTTTGCAGAAAAAGAAAATTAGGCAAAATCATATATTTTTGAGTAATGTTGTTCCATACAAATGTTTAAACTCAGGGCCCTACTTCTTGGTTTTGGGTATGGCTTGATTAGGTTCGGAGGGATTTGGGTTTTATTTTGAGTTTTGGATTCTGAATAGTTGGAGGATCTGTTTAGTTGAGTTAAATAATTGGAGGACCTATTTAGTTTAGTTGGATAGAGGAGGACCATTTTAGATGTTCAACAATAGTTCGAGGATCTATTTAGATGTTCTGTATATTTGGAGGACCAATTTAGATACGTTTGAGTAGTTGAAGGATCTATTAAGAGGTGATCAATTGTTGGAGGACCAATGTAGATGAGTTGGATAGTTAAAGGGTCAATTTAGTTGAGTTGAATAAATTGAGAACCTATTTAGTTGATATGGATAGTAAAATGACCAATCTAAATGATCTCAATAAGTCGAAGATTGGTTTACCTCTTCAGAATAGTTCGAGGATGAATTAAGATGTTATATATAATTGGAGGACCAATTTAAGTGAAAGATCAGTTTACATTCTTCTGCATTTTGTAAATAAGTACTCTCTAATACGAGTTTAGATAGTGACTTATTCTAGAATATTGACTATTCCAAATCAAAATTATTTTACAACATATATTTCTGGACAAATTACAATATCCTAAGGCAAAAAAGATTTGCAGAGCTTAATTGGAGGTGCAGTGAAAACAAAAATCCCTTAGATGAAGCTTGATTACATGACTTGGTTTTATGGGGTGCCTTTCTTCTTGACACAGAAAGAGATACCGTGCGGCAGTAGTCTGCTCCGTTAGACTATCTTCCACCTTTTCTCGATCGCGTCGGAACGAGAGAAAATTTGATTACAATTTTGTAGAAAGCTTATAATAGAGAATTTGAATACATTTAAAGTAAATTGAATATTGATTGATAAAAACTGAACATTACAATTGACGAAAGCAGAAAATTACAATTGCTAGTGAAAGGGGCGGACACCAGTGAGTTTGAAAGATTTTTGAATAACTAATATCCCCTATAATAGCATTCGGAACAAAAACCTAAGTGACAGGAGTAGACGTTTAAAAGACGAGGAATCATACTAAGCGTTTATTAATATCAGAGCTATTTTATAACTGAAATAATTATTAATGTGAAAAGAAAATTACAACTCAAACTTGAAGTAATATTTACAATGTGCGGTCAAAGTTGGGCAAACTGCGGCTGCGAAGTGTCAAGGGGCTAAGTAAAGTTACGGTCCTTGACATTCTCCCCCATTTGTTTTGGCGACGTTCTCGATGCCATCAATGCATGATATGCTTCAATTAATGGTTTGAAGGCTTCGAGATATTTTTCTCTTTTCCAAGTATTCTTCTTGATGCTGCATCCAATCTATTTGACAAAGTACTCCTGATGATCTTTTTTAGAAGCTCGAGTAATTCGATGGTCAAGAATAGTTTCAGCAACTTTCTTTCTAGCTTTCTTTAGTTCAAACACAGGTCACTTTGGCTCGTTTCTAAACGCATCCTCCTTATCCGCAAAGTATGACTTCAACACACTAACATGAAGGACCTTGTGGATTTTACACCATAAAGAAGTTCAACTCTGTATGCAACTCTTCCAATCCTCTTCACGATGAGTAATGGTCCAATGTATTTTGGCGTCAATCTTGAGTCCTTCCCTCTTGTTGGTTTGTAAACATTTCTGTCGGGAAGTTTAACCATTACCAGATCTCCAACATTGAATTCAATGAAACGACGCTTTAGATATGCAGTCTTTTTATACCATTTTTGAGCTTTCTCGATATAACTCCGAGCAATTTCAATATTTCGTTTCCACTCTTGAGAAAAGTTCTTTGCTTGAGGGGACTTGGTACTTCGTTCGATATCCACTGTATGAGGGAGTAGCGATTGCTGGCCGATAACAATCTCAAAATGACTCTTATTGGTGGAAGAGCTCTTTTGGGCATTGAAGCAAATCTGAGCCGCATCCAAAAGTTTTACCCAGTTTTTTTGCGAAGTAGAGATAAAGTGCCAAAGATATTCTTCTAGCATAGAATTGAAGCGCTCCATCTGTCCGTCAGATTGTGGGTGAAAACTAGAATTCATGCTTGAAATTAACCAAGAAATTTGAACAACTCAGTCCAAAATATGCCAGTGAAACAAGGATTTCGATCACTAACGATGTCTTTAGGCAGTCCCCAGTATTTGACAATATGTTTGAAGAAGAGTTGAGCTGTCTCTTCCGCCGATACATAC